CAAGGAGTCAGGGCTTGAGGATGGCTGGAGCCTCAGACAGACATAGCATGGGTGATGGGGATTCAGAGGTGTTGAAACTGGATCCCCAGGGACCCGAGTGTCTCCCTGCCAAACCTGCTGAACATAACACGGTGGCCTCTGGAGCCAGGAGATCTGCTAGATTCTGAATAACGCAGAGAGAATCCAGGACTGTTGTGTCTGTGGGTGCTCACACTCCTATGAAAAGGGCAATTGGAGTTTTCTAGAAGAAAACAAGCTTGCTGATCAAATTTTATTTTGAAAAAAAAATCCATTTCTGAAGGAAAGTGGAAAGTGTGGAACAAAATTGCCAGGGTTAATTTCTGCCACATTTGGGAGGTCAGGGTGTTCCGACTGAAGTGTGCTTATAGCCTGCATCCTGAGAGTTTTCATAGCTACGGCACCATCACACCCAAAAAAAGTCATCACTAATTTAGTAAGAGCCCCCAATCCACAGTCCCTGTGCAGAAATATCTTACTGAGACGAGAGACTAGCTAGCAACGTGCTTTCCAAAAAGGCATGAGGACCTGATTTAAATTCCAAGAAGCCAGCTGTAAGTCAATGTGCTTATAATCCCAGTGCCGGAGAGGCAGAGACTGGCAGATCCCTGCAGTTTGTTGGCCAGCTAGAATCACACACTTCGTGAGTCCCAGGGACCAATGACAGACTGTATCTCAAAGCATAAGGAGCTGGGGAGATGGCTTAGTGCTTAAAATGCTTGCAGCACAGTGTGAGGACTAGACTGACATTGTCAGAAGCCACCTAATCGCTGATGGATGGGAGAAACCACCTCTAATGTTGGCCTTGGGAAGCAAAGACACAGGATCTCCAAGCCAGCTGGCAGGACATAATGGGGAGCTCTGGGTTTGATTAAGAGACCACACCCCTTGAATAGGTTGGAAGAACAATTGATGGTTCCTTATATCAGTTTCAGGCATCTACATGTGTATATTCATGTGTGCATGCATCCACGCACATGTATGCTATCCCCCATGAAATGGAAACAACAGAGTGGGTGGCCCCTGAGAAACAGTGTCTGATGTGTACAACTGGTCTCCACGTGTACCAGAACACAAGTGTACCCCTGCACAAACATCCACACCACACAAGGTGCGCATCCATGAGGGGGCTTCTAGACAGAGTCTATTGAGATGGGAAGATTCATCCTGAATGTGGGTGGCACCATCCTTTGAACTGAGGTCCTGGCTAAATGAAAAGGAAGAGGCCAACTTACTATAGGCGTCTGTCACTCTCTGATTCCTGATTGCTCACACCCTGTGACTGGTGGGCTCTGCAGCCGCCGCCATAATAGAGTGTGAACCAAAGCAAACCCCTCCTTCCTTAAGTTTCTTTTGGCAGGTAGCTGGTCGCACTCAGTGTGTCGACGGAGTTGGTTCAATGAGTGGCAGTTTGCTGATCTGTGGAGTAGTGGAGTCCACTAACCATGCTCAGAAATCAGGGAGTTGGTGTTCCCAGTGTGTTTGATACCCTATTCTATGGTCGTTCCTATGCAGGTGGCCATTAGACTCTGAAAGCTGCCAAAATTGAGAGGTTACCTGAATCCATTCTAGATTCATGGGCAGAAAGCCCCTGACTCAAGTTGTTTAGTTTCTTTCTGTGCTTATTACACTTTGGGTCCAGGGCTAGATGATGCTTTTAAAATGTGCGGCCCCATTGGGCCTGTTTGCTCCTCAGCTGAAGAAGAGTAGGCTGGGCTGTGTGAGCTGCACCATCAGCTTCCAAGGAAATCAGTCTACGTGAGCGCAAGGTCCTGTGTTCCCACTGATGCCCTGCGAGGTGGGAAGCACAAGGGCAGGAGTTCCTGGAGGAAGTGGGGGGGGGCTTTGGAGCCCTGGCACCCACCCAGGCTGTGTGCACCATATCACACTCACAGTTCTGAGGCTTCGTTCTCTCTCCCTTCCCTCACATGTAGGTTAAATTTGACCTTGTTTTATTTTAAGTTACTCAATAACTTGAGAGCATTAGGGAATTATTTTCTGAAATACACTAGCTGTCTCAATAAAGCAATTTAATCTGATTCTTGTGACCTACATCAGCTAATGGTTTGTGAGGAATCGGTTTTTTGTTTAAATCTGCATTTGTTGTTTAACTCCTATTACGGCTCCATCTCTGAGGAGGATTTCAGAGTCTGCATTACTGTAAGGAGACGATTTGTGTTTGCAAACTTGGTGGATTTTTGTAGAAGCCTTTGAGTCAAAAGCAAAGGGAAGCCTGCTCTCCTCTCCTTGCCTCTGTGTGCATACTGGCACATGTACGCCACACCCCATGAAACGGGAACAACGGGGTGGGCAGCTCCTGAGAAACAGTATCTGAGGTTATTGTTTTTCTTGCTGTCGGGACAAAATAGCCAAGGAATCCCACACAAGGAGAGCTTGTCTTGACTCACAGCGTGTGTATAGTCCACTGTAGCAGGATGGAGAAGTGGCTGCTCACACTGGGTCCCAATTCAGGGAGCAGAATGGCAACTTACGTCCTGTTAGCGGAGGGCCCTGTCATGTTTCTACTATGGATAGAGTATCTTGAGTGCTGCATACAGATGTGCCATGGTTTCCAGGTGACCATGACACAACAGCCCACTGACATAGCCATCTCAGGGTCTTTGTGGGTAGGAAGGACAGACTGTGGTGTACTGAATTCGGATGCATTGTTTGGTGATTTCAAACATCTTCTTGTGTCTGGCCAGGCATAAATCAGGCTCTAAATATATACAAGGCCCCCTAAGATCCACCAATGCTATGAACTCACCGGAAACTCTCTATCCCCTCCATCTACCTACCCCGTCTATGTTTGTGTGTGGTGTCTTCCTGTGGAGGGGGTGGGTTGGGGGTAGAACGGTGTGGCAGTGCACAGAAACCAGAGGTCTGCAATTCTTCTCAACCTTATATCAGTGTTTTGAGACAAGGCCTTTACTAAACCAGGAGCTCACATTCCTACGCTGTCTGCCAAGTGAGTCCCCAAGATCCTGGGGTCTCTGCCTTCCACAGCTGCAGTTACAGGGTTGAACCATGCACCTGGATTTGCATAGATGCTCTGAGTTCTGAACTCAGGTCCTCCTGCTTGCCAGCAAATGCTTCACCCACTGAGCCATCTTCAAAGCCCTCTTTTAATTATTTTTCATTTATAAAACATATACCTGCTAAATGAGGCTCTTCCGTGCAATCATAAGTAGAATTTGACTAATTAAAAGAGATAAATGTACTGTTTTCTGAAATGCTGAAATTTTTTTGAGTAAAGTGAACTACTGCGTTTTTTTTTCTTTCAGGGAAATGAAATCTGGAATAAAGCCAACTGTAAAAGTATTGGTAGGGTATATGGGGTTAGCCAAAAGAATATAATAGTAATTTGGGAAAATAATTTGGCCTGGCTGAATTGAGATATCAGATCAGATGTCAGATGTCACCAAATAAAGTCAGTCAGTCACTTAAACCTGAAAAGTCAACACAAACATAAAATGAATCTTCCGCTTTTTATAGTAAAGTTTTTTAAATGTATATTTTACTGTTTAAATGCCTTGAGATAAGTGGTATGTATGTACCAGAGTTCTTTAAACAAGAAAGGCAATGTCTACACACTGTGATCACAAGTCAACTCTCCTGCTTATGCAGATGCAGAATGCTCACAAATGAAATGGAGCCTGACGCACTCCGCACTCCTGTGTCTGTGGAGATGACGGAACTGATTGTCACCAATTCAGATGCTTGACTCAAAGTGAATTCAAGGCTTAGCATTGCATCTCAATTTCCAGAAAATGAGTTGTATTTTATGTGGCTTTATGTATGGGTAAAGATAGCTCTAGATCATGAGATGCATACACCACATAGAGACTAAATTTAGAATATTGAGGCCAGGGAGATGACTGAGATGACTCAGTGAGCAAAAGTGATTGCTATCAAGCCTGACAATCTGAATTTATTTCCTGGGACCCACACGGTGAAAGGAGAACTGATACACACACACACACACACACACACACACACACACACACACACACACACACAAGTGCATATTCATACACACAAATACACATACTTGCATGTATGCACAAATACACATACATGCATACATACACAAATATACATACATCCATACAAGCAAATACACATACAGACTTAACACATACAAGTACACAAACTCCTGCATATATGCACATACAAACACACACACACAAATACACATACAAACTCATACACAAGCACAACATGATAGTAGGCTCACAAGTAATTTTTTGCCTCCCAGAATGTTGAGAATTATTACTGCTAAGATCTGAGAATGTGTGAAAGTCAGGCATTTATGTGCACATTGCTGTTATTTGACAAACAAATGCCAACTTGCACCATCTCTCAGATGGGCAAGCTTCATTCATGTGTGAAGATGAGTCTGTTTAGAGTGCTCAAACTAAACACACACAAGAGGGGAAGATACGGAGTCTAGCTTCTCCTCTTGCCTGCAGCTGCTTATGATTGACACAGTTGTCTTTGGAAATCTGAGGGTAACATCCAGGAAAATCTTACAGGTATCTTCCATCAGCTTCTGAGACACTCAAGGCTTAATCACTGTAGATTTAAAATATCCATGATACAGCCTTTTTTTTATTACTGTTTAGTTTGTCTAAAAGACTCATTATGAAATTACGTTTCTTGACTATCTAATAATCCCCTTGCTGAACTCTTAATTTCACATAAGGAGAGCAAGAGTAAGAGGCCATTTCCCAGTAGTTGCCTAAATATCACATAGAAATTAAGGCTTCGGATAGCAAACAGCTTGAAGACTCAGGGCACAATGCCTGTCTTTGCACCCTCCTTGCAAAGCTCTGGTCCCTGCTCTTTCCCACCACATTGACTGCCTCGCTGTGGGCACTGTGCACACAACGGACCCCTCATCCTTGGCAGGGAATGGTTCCTTTTCTCAAAAAACATTGTTTCCCCAGATAGACCTAAATCACTCTCATTCTATTTTACAGAGTGCTTCCCCGGGAAACCAAGGTAACTGCACTGCAGGATCCCCTGCCTGGTGTCATTGTTCACACCCCTGCATGGTAATGTTGTCCATCCTCAGGTCTTAGAAGAGCATCTTCTATTTAAGAATGTCTGGATGAATTTATTACTGCTCTTATGGTTTAATGTGAGAGAGTAGTATTTGTATTCTATGGTTTGCTGCATGAGATATGAATGTGAAGTTGAACAAAGACTTTATATCCAAAAACATGGTGCTTAGCCATCTACAAGCACACACACGAACTGGCAAGATGCTTCAAGTAGGTAAAGGCACTTGCTGCCCAGCTGATGACCTGAGTTTGACCTTGAGACCTACATGGTAGGAGGAGAAAACCAACTTCCCTAAGTTGTCCTCTGACCTCCATACCTATATACAGAGACACATTAACACAAAATAAATATAAAATACTCAGGGTAGATATGCAGGCAGGGGATCTTGAGTTATAAGCCTGTTTGGGCCACAGAGGGGGTATGTCATAAACAAGCAAATACTTAGGGTCAGGATATTGCAATAGGTTTTGGATTCACAGGGAAGTAGCTTCAAGAGATGGAGGGTGAAGGCAAGGATCGGCGAAACTGATGAGGCACAGGGAACTTGCAGAATGGCGGAAATGTCTCAGGAGGTGTAGTGTTACAGGGGTGAGGCATTTGTCAGAAACCACATACTTTAGATATGTGTGTCTTATTATTAATTAACTTTGTTTCAAGCGTGGGTTTTAAAATAAGTCTATGAAAACAAAGGTCTTTTGAACTTCTTGTTAGGTTGGAAAACACAAGCTAATGATGGATGGCATTGCTTCGCGCTAGTGTTCACCATCTACTTTTGGGGTTTGGGCTTTTTTTTTTCTTCTCTTCTTGCTTTACCTAAGTGGAAAATCAACCCTCATTGAGTTACTGCAGCTGGAAGGAAGAGAAAGCTGGAGTAATGAGCAAACTGACAGCTGCCTCCCCAAGGTGCTTAATTTTAGTGCCAGTGCCTTTAGAGAGTCTTTGCAACTCCAGTTTGCGTCTTAACCCAAGCTATGAATCATGAATGTGGAGGGTAAGTAGGGAGACTGCAGCAACACTCTGCTCTTAGAAAAGTGCTCTGATGGCTCTCAAAGCAGCTCATTCAAAGAGATGTCTGAACACCACCAGCTCCATACTTTCCGCTCACTGAATGGTCCTTGAGTTAGTTTAAAGGTGTTTAAAAGTTTTGAAAGTGTGTGTGTGTGTGTGTGTGTGTGTGTGTGTGTGTGTGTGTGTGTGTGTGTGTGTGTGTGTATGTGGAAGTAAATTGTTGGGTAGACAGTCAAACAAAACCAGTAATCATCACGACTTGTGTGGTACTTAACTTGGCTTTAGTGGCTAAGTGTCTAGATTGTAGTACACTTTGTAATATGCAGTAACAAACTGTGGCTAGGTCTGATGCATTTTTCTTTTACTAAAGTGACTTTTACAGAATACATATCAGGTTGAGTCAAACCACCTCTGGCATCCATGGCTGCTTGGTAGGTTCGGTTTCTCAGTAAGAGGATGGTCATGTTCTTGGCTGCATGCCATATACAGACATATAGTAAGTGCAACAAGGCTGTGGCCAGGCCAGTGACTGTGAGGTGAGTGAGCTTCAGAAGTGGAACTTGGCTGTGGAAGGCCACCGGGGGCAGTCAGCAAGCATCATACTTGTTCTGCTACTTTTCTTCCTGTTCAACCACTGACATTCTACCCCACCCTCCCTGCTTCTGCTACCCAGTTAATCACCAGCACTGTCAGCATCTCCTTCTCCATTTCCCATCATTCAAGACTTCTAAAGGATAGTTTTACTCTCTAGACTTTTGGTTTCATCAAGTACAGAAATTTAGAATACTCCAAGGGGGAAATTGTACAAAGATTGGAACTTATGCCAGTGGAATCCTCAACTGAACTTTGTCAATATCCAATGCCCACTGGTCTCATTCTGTTAAAGCACTGGCTGTAGTTGTTGTCAATATCCAGTGCCCACTGCCTCCCTCCATGATAGCAATGGTTGTGATTGCACCAAGTAGACTGCTGATGTATGAAGGGTCCCTTGTCCTGGAATGAATGCTCCCTGCTGCAAGAAAACTAGAAGTCAAAGACATTACCAGGCCATTCCTGTTCTGGCTACTAATTGGAGCATTTGATATGATACAGTACAAGTAAGCAGTCTGGCCAGCTGAAGTACCAGATAAAATGGAATGATAATTATTTTACCTAATCTCATTTCGTCTATCTTTCTCAAGTATCAGGTAGCTGGCCTATCTTGGAGAGATAAGCTGTTCCAGTAGAGAAAAGAAAAGCAATGTAGTATGGAGTTTAATCTTTGAGATTTCCTTCAGTGTAACCGTTAAATTTAGATCCCTGTACAGAACCTCAGTTATGGCAAGCACAGATTAGGTAGATATAACCAGTATCATGCTGTGGTTCCACAGAGGCCTCTTAATTGGCACTGTGGCTGAGGAATGCATGGGAATGCCCAACTGTGACTGGAGTAAGTCAACATAGATTGTTTAGTTCATCACCATCTACAGGTTCATGTGCCTGAACCAATTCAAAGCTATTAGAATTGTAAAAGTTCAGTGCTGAAGACCTTTCCTGTTTCTCCTCCCACTAAATTTATTCAAGTATATTAGCACACTTATATTTCATATGGATATATAAATCCCACAGTTCTATAGAGAAATCTTATTTTATAAAACTGTCAATAATATAAAATAGTTCCAGATCCCCGATACCAAAGGTCCCTAAAGCTATAGTAATTAATACCCCATGCAGATATTAGTTAATATGCATAGTGTGCAAATAACCATGTATTTGTATATGTATATGTATACTGCCATTATAACCAGGTAAGTCTGAAAGTACGTTTGGTCTTGTAAGCTCTACTGTCCTAGAAATGTCTTGGCTGGCCACTGTTCCTTATTGTGTGGTCTGTTTTTCTCTTTGATCTTTACTCTAGGTTCTCTGAAAAAATAAATTGCAGTGACATTTTAAAAAATTGGTCCAATATATTTCAGCCTACTTGTTCTTGTGCACTCTACCAAAGTACTCGCTCCTTTTAAAATTTAATGAGTATTTTATTTGAGTATCCCATCTTGCTCTCAAGGAAGGCAATGCTAAGATTCCCAAGGCAGTTGCCAGTGTGCATGTTTGTATAACACACCTGACAAGAACTTTGAACTGCTTCTCCAACCTGAGTGGACAGAGCCCTTGTTCCCTCTCTTGGAGTTGACTTGCTTCTCTTGAGCTCATGAGGAAAGGAGAGTGACTCATCATTAGCTTCAGGCCACAGCCTCATAAATTTTCTTCTTTCTTCCTAACTAATCACCTTTGTTACTAATTATGTTCCAGAAAACACACTGTAATGCCATACAGGCTGGCAGAGTATAGAACAAAGCAGGGTATAAATTAGAGATGGCACTGTCAAAAAAGCTTTCAGGGCTGTAGCATCAAAAATAAGAACTGTATTCCCACTCTGCCTCTGTGGGACTTACTTGGATAGAGTTGGAAATTGAGTAGCATAATCTAATTTTAAGGGAACTTAACACAAATTAAGCGAACATTTTTCTGAGCGTAAATTCATGAATCAAATTGCATGCTGGCTTTATTGAAAAATGACGACGGTGCTGCAGGCCTTGGAGCAGAGCCAGGAAGAATGCTCGCATGCCTTATAGCATGCTGTTCAAAATGGCAGTTCTCTGATAACCAGGAAGTGCCCCTGGGCAAACCCCGTACTGCTGTGCTCTGAGCAGAGCAGTGAACTCACTTGAACTTCAGCCAGGATGCCATCACCTCTGCTTGGCTGATGAGGTCACAGGATCAGAGAAGTTAAGTGACATTCCCTGGTGTCATAGTCAGAGGCGATGAGAGAGAGAGAGAGAGAGAGAGAGTGAGTTCCCCACTTTCCACTTATTAAACTGCTATTATGTGAGCTAAACAATATGGAGAGAAGATTGATTAATCAGCAGGTTGACAACTTTGACATTGGTACCATGAAGCATTTGTCTCTGGCTGTATTTACAGGTGGGGTGTTTTCCTGGGTATAGTTATTAAGGAAAGATCCCTCATGAAATTTTCAAAGTCTGTCATTTTAATACTTTTCTGTTATTTTTTCTGCTGCCATAGTTCAATGCAGTCAATCCTTCCCTGTTTTACTTTCTTTAAGAAAACTACATTAAGGCTGGACATTGGTGGTGCACGCCTTTAATCCCAGCACTCGGGAGGCAGAGGCAGGTGGATGTGAGTTCGAGGTTGGGCTGGACCGACAGCCTCCAAAAAATATAGAGAAACCCTGTCTCATAAAAACCAAAAAAACAAACCATTAAACATCATGGGTATGCCATTGGAAGGAGTGCCATTGGATTTGCAGCTAGCTGCTTACCTATCACAAACTCGGTAGACAAAGGTTTGGGAAGGAAGGCAGTTTTATTAAGTGGCAGGCACCCTGGGAAGGTGAGGGTGCTACATCTCCAAAGCTTCATCACAAGTAACTCAGTGCTGGAAAGGTTTTTTGCAGAGGGGAAAAAAAGAGCATGGCATGGTGCAAAAAAAGACTGGAAGACCCCAAGGTCTTCCTTTTAGGGGCCTCTCTCTCTCTCTCTCTCTCTCTCTCTCTCTCTCTCTCTCTCTCTCTCTCTCTCTCTCGGCCTCTCTCTCTCTCTCTCGGCCTCTCTCTCTCTCTCTCGGCCTCTCTCTCTCTCTCTCTCTCTCTCTCTCTCTCTCTCTCTCTCTCTCGGCCTCTCTCTCTCTCTCGGCCTCTCTCTCTCGGCCTCTCTCTCTCTCTCTCGGCCTCTCTCTCTCTCTCTCGGCCTCTCTCTCTCTCTCTCTCTCTCTCTCGGCCTCTCTCTCTCGGCCTCTCTCTCTCTCTCTCGGCCTCTCTCTCTCTCTCTCTCGGCCTCTCTCTCTCTCTCTCTCTCTCTCTCTCTCTCTCTCTCTCTCTCTCTCTCTCTCTCTCTCTCGGCCTCTCTCTCTCTCTCTCTCTCTCTCTCTCTCTCTCTCTCTCTCGGCTCTCTCTCTCTCTCGGCCTCTCTCTCTCTCTCGGCCTCTCTCTCTCACACACACACACACACACACACACACTTGTTCTTCTGTCAGTCTGGCCTTCTAGGGCTTGTTCCTTAAGCAAACACCACTTTTCTGTAAAGTCAGCCTCACAGCATTGACTCACTTCGTGGCAGCTGAGGAGTTGATTAGAGAATAAGGACAGTGTTCTGCTCTGATGCAATTTGAAGCTCAGCATGCTATGGGTTTCGTGAAGTTACAGAAAGGTTGTTAGCATTGTAATAATTTGGGTATGGCTTCTCCTTAGAAAGTGAGCCATAGGAAGGGTAAGTCACCTTTCATAGGGGAGAAGGAAGGCTCCCCACAAAGTAGTGGTGACCTCTTCCAGACATCATTTCTCCATTCTGGGAGCAATGCACCTGCTTTCCTCTTTCTAATTTCTACATAACAACTTTCTTGAGCCCATGGCTCACATCCCTGTGATCATCACCCAGTGTCTTCTGTCTACCCTTGATTTTCCCTATGTGGTTTAAATACCTACCTGCCTGGAACTTGCTGTAGAATATGTTCTAAACAAACTCATTGCATGCCATCTCTACTTCTCTTGGTGACACTGTGTTCCTATCAAGACTTTGTTTTGACATATTCACACTTGTGACTTCTTCATGTCAGTAAATGACTGACTCTACTTTGTGCTACATGAGTGAGATCTCCTAAAAAGAAGCCATGTCTGTAAAAACTGATTGATTGATTAGGACTGTAGTGATGTGGGGAGGGTGGGATATGACAGGTCATCCATAAGCTAATTGTCTTGTCTTAGGTTAGCTTTAGACCTGAAGTTAATTCCTTTCCCAATTATGTCAGAACTACCATTTTGTGACTATCTAATTGCAGAGGGGCTACTACAGCAAGATGGAGAAGATGGAGGAAGCTTTTCTATTGGCTTAAGATGCTGTCTGATGATATTCTTAGCTTTTAGATTGGGGAAAACTAATGGTCTGCTGTATCTGTCTCCCCATGTACCTACCAATATATTTTAAACTTGCCTCCATTTATGACTTTCTTGGTTCTGTAAAACTATGAAACTGTTTCCACATGGAAACATGGAATTTGAGGTAACATTTTTGTTCCTTGGCCATGGTCACTCAAAATAGTTCCAGAGTAAACAACCACTTATTCCCTTTAAGATGAGAGCTGTGGGTTTTGTGTCAACATCCATAAAAGTTCTTAGCACTTACCATCGTCTCATCTTGTTTGCCCAGGCCACATGATAGTCTGCTCATGGGTCTTTCCAACCTGACCCAGATGGATCAATCTTATTCCCAAACTTTTTGGTGTTTTGCCATTGCCTGCTATAAAGCCCCAATGGCTGGCACTCGATGCTGGCCACATGCTGGTCTATAGCTGGTACTGTCTTCCTTCACTGTGGGATCTGCTGTCCTGGCTTATGGAAGAGGACTTGGAGTATAGGCTTTCCAAGAAGTAACTCATTTATGTAATCTTTGCCATACTGGGCATAACGTGGGGCTTCACTCTGTCACTGTACTATTTCCCCCAGCCCTTCATTTATCTGTGGATAGTCCTAGGCATTGAATTCAGGGCCCAGTGCATTCTGGGAAGCGTTCTAGTGATGGGCCACCATTTCTTTCTTTGAAGGTGTCTTTGTCAAAGACAAGGATAAGAGAAGAGCAAAAGCCACACAATTTTTGGAGAAGACGCCATTAAGTCTCTCTCATACTAGCAACAACCCTCTAGCTAATATGGGATGGGGAAGAGTCACTCGATAATGACTGCTGTGTTGCCTTCACTTGCACTGTTTTCTGAACCCGAATACACGCTGCCTAGCCTCCTGCTCTGCACACCAGATTCTTCTCTATTGCAGTTCATATTTTACACTAGACACCCCTAAGTCCTCCAGCCTTTCTGACACAGTGTGACAAAGCATAAGTAGTTGTAGCCCCCAGCTCTAACTTGGGACTGTCTGTAGGCAGACCCTAAGTCTTAGCTACAAAGACTGATGTAGAAAGCGGGGCAGAGTGGCATGTACTTGTAATCCCAGTAATGTGAGGTGAAGGGCAGAGGGCTTGCTCGCCAGTGAAGTCTAGACTATTGGTAAAATTCCAGCCCAATAAGAGATAACTGTCTCAAGACAAAAAGGGGAAGGTGACTGAAGACTGTCACTTTAGGTTGTCTTATGACTTCTACCTGCATGTGAGCACACATGAATGCATGTGCAAACACATATATGTATATATGTCACATGCCAGGCATGCATCTACCTAGTACGTGACAGATCACACAGATTAGTGATTTGAAATGTAGTTGATTCTGAAACAAACTTTCTGAGTGATTATTAATTTTAATTTTAGTGAAATTTGAAATAAGTACTTTTAACACACAAAAGCATGTTTCTCTTTTAATCATTTAATTTGATCAGTGATTAATTTTTGTATTGTGTGTCTATGGTGCCTGTCTTTCCGTGTCTCCTTCTATCTTGTTTGAGGCAAGGTCTCTTGCGTCTCTGCTGCTGTACTGTGTTCTCTGGGCTAGCTGGCCGGTGAGCTGGACAGCTCTGTTTCTGCTTCCAGCTACAGTTCGGAATGGGGGTATTACAAATGTGGGCTACCAGTTCCAGCTTCTGAGATTTTTCGTGGGTTTGGGGATCTGAAGTGAGTTTGCCAGGCTGGCAAGCCCTTTACTCTCAGCCATCTCTTTGGTACAATATACTGTTGGTCTTCAAACTGTGTTGCTTCTTCAAGCATTAAAATTTTTTATTTTAACCATGTGTATATCAAGGAGGTTGATGGTTCTTAATTTCACGAAGGAAATTAAATTAGAAATCTAAAAAGTTCATGGCAAATAGTTCTTTCCAGAATCATGTCTCATACAAAGAAGCATAATGTGGACACTTTAGTCAGGAATCAGACCTGGGCAGGCCTTCTCCCCGCGCATATATTTACACACACACACACACACACACACACACACACACACACACACACACACACACACACACACACATTCCTGTTATTTCTTCACTCACAATATTGTGGTCAGTGAGTTAAGAGTATTTGCTTTTAGGAGCTGGGCAGTATAACTCCATGACAGAGTACATTCCTAGCACATGTGAAGTCTGGGTTCATTCCTCAACATTGCTAAAATTCTCCCAGAGTCTAAGCTTTAGCCAGGCAAGCCTAAATAATCATGAAACTGAAAGGCTGACTGGTGGTTTCTCTGTGGAGTTGGCCTCTTGCCTGCAGCACCTTCCAGGGCCACTGATGCTCTGCTTCTGTTGGCTCCCTTATCCTTTCGTTCTTTTGGTCTCCTTTAAGACTAATTGATAAGCATGATCTAAGGTGTTTGGAGGAAGAGATAAAAAGATGGGCTTTGTGCACTTCTGCCTGTGGGGCTATTTCAATATCCTCTGAGAGTGGAGCCTGTTTGTCTGCCTGCCTGGAACTGTCACCATGAAACCCCTTCCTTTGGGAATCCACATAAGCTAGTAAAGAAGAAATGATGCTGGCAGGTACATTGCTTGCCATGCCTGGTAGGTGTGGTGGCTTCCTGTAAACCCAAGGGAATTCTTACATAATGATGGCTGATGGGTAGGCGAACTGTGTGTTCAACCCTGCCTCAATGAACAGTTTGGAGAGAAACAGGAAAACGCCTGACATTAGCTTTGGGCCTACACGTGCATGTACATATAGATACACACAGAGACAATGGCCAAAAAAAAAAGAAAAAGAAAATAAAAATCAATAGTAAATTTTTGAGGTAACAGGATATGTTAATTACCCTGATTTGATCATGTATTGAGACATCACATTGTGTCCCACAAATCTGTTGGAGCATTACGTGACAATGTAAAATGATGAAATGTAAAGATATAGTTAAAGGAATGTGCATAGAACAAGTAAGCTATACTCACTCAAAGCACCTGTTCTATAAAGCTCCCTGTATCTGGCTTTGAATTCTTACTGGAAGGTAAATAAAGGCAAGAAACTGATTTCCCATAGGGCATCACAGGAAGCCTACAGTCTCAGCGGTGAGACACTTTCTTAAGTCTGACCCATAGACTTTTGAGCTATGATATGTTTGAACTAATTCACATTGCAACAACTTTTTAATGGATTAATTAGTTTCATTTGCATTTTTTTCCTTCCTCAGAAATTAGCACATCCGTGAATGGCAGATGCTGGTGAGCTTGCTGATCTCCTAGAGACCTTGAGAAGATTGACCCAGAGTTGTGACTTTGGAGAACCAGCTCTTTGATCTTCCTGTTGGCCTTACCCTTTGGCTCACAATGGAGACACTCTCCCAGGATTCCCTGCTGGAATGTCAGATCTGTTTTAATTATTACAGCCCACGACGAAGGCCCAAGTTGCTGGACTGCAAGCACACCTGCTGCTCCGTGTGCCTGCAGCAGATGAGGACCAGCCAGAAGGACGTAAGGTGCCCCTGGTGCCGCGGTATCACCAAGTTGCCCCCAGGCTTCTCTGTATCACAGCTGCCCGATGACCCTGAGGTCCTGGCAGTCATTGCCATACCGCACGCTTCCGAGCATACACCAGTCTTCATCAAACTGCCAAGCAATGGGTGCTACATGCTGCCCCTGCCCATCTCTAAGGAGCGCACACTCCTGCCTGGAGACATGGGCTGCCGTCTGCTGCCAGGGAGCCAGCAGAAGCCCCTCACCGTGGTGACCATCCCTGCAGAACAGCAGCCCCTGCAGGGTGGAGCTCCCCAAGAGGCTGTGGAGGAGGAGCCTGACAGACGGGGTGTGGTGAAGAGTTCCACATGGTCTGGCGTGTGCACTGTCATCTTGGTGGCCTGTGTTCTGGTCTTCCTCTTGGGCATCGTGCTACACAACATGTCCTGCATCTCTAAGCGCTTCACTGTGATATCTTGTGGCTGAAGCCTGTCACAGCGATGCCTCTTGTGGGTGCCAACTTAGGGGGGTGAGCAGGTGTTGGTGATGGGATCCCTATGATGAGATGGGGTGACACTGAGGATTTGGTACAAGTGCTGGCCTCCAATTGGCCACTTGATTCACCTGAAGACAAGAGCAGAGGGGAAGTTCTCAGCAAGAGATGGTGGCAGCCATGAAGACGTGTGCATGCTTCCTCATAATTGTGTATTTAATGGGCTGTAATTTATGATTTTCAAAGATCTTTTCCCCAAGTTAGGCTTTTCTATTTAGACATGAAACTGTACATGTGGGTGCGATGAGCTCTCTCAATACGGTAGATGGTAGGCTAAAGCAGATGCTTTGTGTGGAAGTAGAATTAAACCTCAAATCCATGTTTAAAAAACTAATGAAGACACAGAGCTGGTCTGTGTGTGTGTGTGTGAGAGAGAGGGAGGGAGGGAGGGAGAGACAGAGAGGGGGGGAGGGGGAGAGAGAGCAGAGCCTGGTCTGCATAACTTTTTTATACAATTTGAATGGCACCCAAATCAAAATAACTAAAACATACCTTTTGGTTGTTTGAAGAAAATATTTGAACACGTGTCTCCAGCGTGTTGTGTATTGTCATGTTTCTTCATTTCTCTTCATTTGTGATTAGAGCTTACTATGTGTATGTTAATCTGGAAGCCCAATAGGTGAAAGATGGACTGGAAAATAATGGGAAATGTCCAATTCCCCAGGAAGCCCACATGCCAATTTTCTTCTCAAGCCATCTCACAAAATAAGAAATAATTTAAAATGTAAATATTATGAATCTGTGTGTATTTTGTGTGCGTGTAAATTGATTTACCTCAGGTGTTTTGAGTTTTTCCTGAAGAATCCTGGGAGGAAGACTTTGTAGGCATGCTTAAGCCACATGTCTGAAACGCTGGCTCCTCGTCGGTGTCTGGATCTTCCCCTCTGAGAGTCTCCCACACATCCCCTGCGACACCCACTGGCTGCTTTGCTGTGTGAGATCCTGTGTCAGTACCACATGGATGGGGAATGTCAGGAGAACTCATCATTTCCCCCAGTTTGGAGGATTTTGTGTGAAATTCACAAGTGTTGCTAATTAATGGCTCGCCTAGATGGGCATTTTCATAGACAGTCCTTGATAATAATTTTTAAAGATGTTCCTGTAAGAGTTAACCTCTTTAGAATTGCAATTTCATCTTGTTGGAATCAGCAAGAAAATGTTTTGTGTTTCAAAGTGTTCCTACTGACAAAAGCGTGGCAAAGAAAACTCGGGTTTTCTATGTAAGTGGACCAGTTTCCCATGAGCGGTCACCTATTTTGACATGTGAATTTATGAAGAAAGGTAGTTAGGCTGAAAGGATAGGTTCCTATCTCTGGCTGTATGTACAATGAGAAATAGCTGTGAGCTTGGTAGTCTTTTTTGAACTCCTTTTGTGGAACTAGGAAGCTAGTGATATTGTCAAGGAATCCAACCAAATGTACTTTTCTTTGTGGCAGAAAGGTAAGCAGTGGCCAGTGGGCTCTGAAAAGCAAACATGGAAACAGTCCTGTAAGATTGAGGCAGTGTATTTGCATGCTAGCCTTCATCTTCCAGCAGAACAACAGATGTGGACTAAAGTGATGGCATTGCTGTGGGGGAAAAAAAACAAAAGAATAATAGCTGGAATACAAAGAACAATTGGCATGAAAATTCAACTTCAAATTATGAGCTCTGGTTTTTAAACCTTTCAAATTTGTAAGACCTTTAGAAAAAATGTATTTGAGGGCTCAAATAGAAATTAGGTTAAAATACCATTTTGTCATGTAAGCTATTGGGCATTATACAACAAATAATCTAGGATTTATTTGGTATTAGTAATTTAGGTATATTATCTGAATACTATCCTCTATTATGTAACATAATATACTGTTGGGTTAGTGTCAATTTCTCAAACTCCCAGGCTGCTATAATGCATGTCTGACCTAATTTCTATTTCTTGTGAAGGGGAAACACACAGATAGAAATGTTGTATTAAGGATGTTATGTTTCCAGTGGACTTTACCCTTGCAATTTTAAGACAGGCCATATTTAAATTAATTTGTGAGAGCTGCCTGCATACCTTTCTATACAGTAGAAAATGACTGATCCTGTAGTGCAGTGTGTGATAGGGGTCTGTCTAATTGTTTAGGAGACTACTTGTAGACACTAATGTATGTGCTAATATGGTATCCTGTGGTTTTTATTGCAAAGCTGTATAGTAAAAATGTCCACAGAACTTTTACTTAAAAACAGTCCATGCTAGAACTGCAATTAAGCAAAACTGATTTACTCCTCGTAGATTCTTGACCTTCAACCTGACAGTAACAGCCCAAGTCAGAGCTTTTGTATGTGTGCTTGATCTAAGAAACACTATTTAAAACTGTTGAAATGGATTCTGCCTATAGTTTGCATATGTGCTTGTTAGGAGGTGTGTGTGTGTGTGTGTGTGTGAGAGAGAGAGAGAGAGAGAGGTCTGCCTACTTCTATATAGTTGATGTTCCAGCTTCTTCTGGAATTTACCTACAACACTAAAAACCTATCTACCCCACGTGACACAAACAACCAGGGCTTAGAGTCACATAACGAAGGCAAGCACTGAAGTCACAGCTGAAAGGAGCCTCCTGTGGCTTCATCCTGTAGATAAGTTCATGGTGGAGGAGAGGGATGGGAGTGGTGGGGATTGTGCAGGCTGTAATTCTGGAGCAAGAGGAAAAGACCTGTGTACTGCTGTGCTCTGCTAAACTTCCTAAGCATGTCACCTTCTCAGTCAGGATCTATGAACACACTTTCTATGTGAGCTATTGCTCTAAGATTATGTTCTTGTCAGGTAGCTTCCTCTCTGGGAAGAAAAGGAGGGTTGATTTAGGGATGAATAGAGACATTGAAAGAAAACTTCCAAACAGAGTGTTTTGAATATTTAGAAGTGTAAAACATTGACCAGAACCCTGTCCCCCATATGTCCAGGACAATGAGTGCTGTGTAAATAGTAACTTATAAGAAGCATGAATTTCCTCTTTTTTAATGATCTTGACATAAGCCAGAGAATGCTAACTATGTTAAGTAGAGCCAAGTATGCCACCTTGTGTGTTGTCTTTAGAAAACTTTTGTGTAGTGATCTGGGATGTAAATTGTGATGACAAAGGCATCTGAGCTTCAATTTAAGGTATTTTCTTTAGACTTATAATTAAATTTCACCCCCCTGCATGGCTCACAGAGTGGGCCTGTTGGAGTGTCAGCTGTGTGTTGGTACAGCTCTTGGAATTTTCCATGTCAGTGCTGTTGGATAGGTGGAAATTGTTTTATAATCTGTGCTGCCCATAGAATGGCTACTAGTCACTTGGCTGTTGGGCAATTAAGTGGGGGTGACTGAAGAAGTGGTATTTGCATGGTATTTAATTTTAAGCAATTTAAAGTGAAATGTTCCCATACAGCTTGTACCTATCACATTGGCCATGGTGACATCAAGAGGCTCACAAAGTAACAGTAAGGCCAAGAGAGAGTTTACAGGCTTGTAACAGTTTCCCAAAGGAAATGCTGTTCCAGGCTTAAAGAAGTTTATGAGCTCTGGGGTGGGGTGAGGGTGATAATAAAATCTCATCCACTGTCCTTTGGGGTTACTATTTAGATACTTTAGACCAAGGAATGAACAGTGAAGCTTAAAGAGAACTTTATTAAGCCCCTTTCTAGGACCATTAGCTGCATGTGAATCTATTGTCCAGAGCTCATAGCTAGACAATAGCTGTAAAAATTTTTGACTTGCAAGCTATGCATGACCTGTGCCGTGAAACTGTGTTTAGGGTCTTGTGGTCAAAAAGAGTCAATGTTACAGAAAATCAAATAATATAATACAAAAAGAGTCTGAGGAAATTCCCGCTCACTTCTGATCTCCTTCCCCTCTTCATCGCAGTATCAGTGAGTGGGAATCAAGAGCAAGTACGATTTGTGGTGTTTGCTTCTGTGCTTGAAGTCAGACAGCTTGACATTGCGTTTGGCGTGGACATTTGTGGGTGTCATTTTCTGGATGCCAGGCTAAAATGGAGGCACTAATTTTCGTGTGAGATGTGACATTGCTTTAGTGTCTCTCTTTTTAAATTATTATTACAAGGTTTGAAACTTTGCACAAAGGCACTTTTACATTTTTCATAGTTAAAAAAAAAAAGCAAAGCATGGCCCAGTAGAATTTAGAAACTGAAAGGTTATTACTGTGGCTCTGTGGAATTGCTTCTAAGTGGGTAAAGGGAAGCAGAAGATTCAGCTTGAGATGCATTTTTTTTTTGTATACAGAGGAGACTGTTGCTGATAGTCTTACATTTATTCGTGCTTAGATTTTGACTTAGTGCTCCAGTGCCTTCATTTGAGAATCTGTGCTGTGTCAAAATTGATTAGCCTGCCTCTTCATTGCTTGCCCAATTAATGGAAACCAAGTGTGTTTGCTTTAGTGGAGCAGAATTGAGTTGGGCTTTCAATTCTGCAGCATTCAGTAGGGAAGACTACTCCCTGGGGTGTCTCTATCTTGTATCTATCTATATGTTGGTCAAATGGTATTTTCTTACGTCTTTTGGAAGTTAGGAGGGCTTCTTCCCCAAAATAATGACGTTATAGACCAGGTAGCATTCTGTGACCACACCAGATTTTGTGCAACTCACATCCTTGACCTAGATGGAGAAGTTACTTTGATATTTCCACCATACTCAGTAAAACATCACCTGTAAGGTGATCCTCACCCAGAGACTCCATGCAACAGCAAGATATGCAAGATAATTTACTCATGGTGTCTACTTGAAGGAGACAGGTGCTGAATTGTTTTCAACCTGAAACTCTTGAAAAAATAAGTGGAAATTCAAGCTATTTTTTCCTCATACAATTGACTTAATAAACTACAACACACACACACACACACATACACACACACACACACACACACTTTAGCCGAGGTAAAATAAAGTAGAAAAGATTATCAACACTACTTTTTCATTCATGGATCACAAAATACTGAATTTATATGTTAATTTTTAAACAGTGGCTATGATCTCCATATACTGTGTCTAACCAACTACTTTGGGGAGTGTCTTAAGACTTCTCCATATGTAAAGAGGTGAGTAATCCTATAGAATGTCATTTCCATATGTAAAGAGGTGGGTAATCCTATAGAATATCATCCCTATATGCAAAGAAGTGGGTAATCCTATAAAACATAATTTCCATATGTAAAGAGATAGATAATCCTAAAGAACATCATCTCTTTTGAAAAGAGGTAGGTAATCCTATACATTTCTATATGTAAAGAGGTAGGTAATCCTAAAGAACATCATTGAAAAGCCAATAATCACTGAGGCACTGAGCAGATGGGGCATTTAATTTCTGACTTCTAAATAGCTTTTCATTTTTTCTTTTTTGGTCCCTGTTATGTGTCAAGAT